AAATCCAATACAGGACCAAGTGATACCAACTGTGTTAGAGACAAGAAATAGTGACATGGATTTTAATGCATCGATATTTATGTATAGATTATATAGCACCTTTTTGGACAATCAAAGACGCTTCACCCGTCGTTACTCATTCCCTCCACGCTAAACGCTAACCCTAACCCTGGGGCACACTGACAGAGTGCATATTCCCACTTTTGTGTTTTTTCGAAAGTGAAATCTGTTGGAGGCTGTAGATCCAGGATGCAGGCTGTAGACCCAGGACATTAGCCTCTTGCGTGTGTCTCTGCTCTACACAGAGCTGAGCTGTGCCTCTCGAGCCTTGCATCCAGCTCACGTCCACATTAGGCCTCGGCTGCCTGTGATCACAATCTCACTTGCAGAATGGAGCCCAGGGACACAAAGCCAATCCGCTCCCATCGCTGCTGTAATGAATTTCTCCAGTTTGGGCGGGGGGCTGGAGGGTTGGAGGGGTCTGGGCCTATCTGTGGACAGCAGGCGCACCCTTCTCTGTGCACATGGAGATGAAGCCCAGTCACAGCTCATGCGTCTCTGGGCTCAGACTGCAGTGTTATCTGGACACCTGTGTGTGACCCTACCCCTCATTCATTCAAACAATTTATTATCCATATTTATATTACAAAAGAATTTATAGTATACAGTAGACATTGAAATCAAAACATTTCAGAGCATTTTAACGATTCGCAAGGGGGTGGTGAACAAGCGCGTTAAACATAAACTGTACACAGATGGAGAATGCTAACACGCTAGCTCAATGAAGCCCATAGAGAAGTGCTCATGGCGAAGTTTAAGTCAAACTTGCTCTGACCTCTTGACTTACATGTAAAAGTAAACTCCTCTAGCTCAGTAACTGCTTGTGTCACACTCCCCATTTGGGCTTAAAAAATATGTTGTTTAGCGCTCTGTGTGATCCTCGTGTTTATATTGTGATTTTGTAATTCTTAAATCCAGATATGAGCCATATAGGAATTGACTAATCTGAGGCCTTCATTTGAGGGAAAACTACAGGTTGCCTTATGAACAGGCCTAACATTAGGGTCCCCATTGTTTGCCAATGTTCTTTTTGTGCCTGTTTAGCACCCTGGGTTCTGTATGAATGGCCCTGAAAAGTCTTTTTAGAGTTCACATTTTAAACAAACACATGTTTTAGTTGTATTTGTCATTTACACACCCACCGCCATGACAACGGTAAAATAGAAAATCTTGTTAGAAATTCATATTTGGCCTACATCACATGAAAACAGTGACGGAAGACAGTCAAGAGTAAAAGATTGTGGTCCTTACAAAATGCAATTTCATGAATACATAAGAACATGATGCACTTGTTTAAGTCAGATCCCGTCAGACCTCTGAAACTGCGCAGGGACGGGCCTGGTTAGTACTGTGATGGGAGACCTCTAGGAACACCTGGTGCCACACTGGGGCAGCTGCGGCTGTATAGTTCCAAACTATCGTTGTGTCCTTAGGCAAGACAATTCACCCACATTGCCTAGAATGAGTCTGGTGTGTGTGTGAATGGTTGGTGGTGGTCGGAGGGGCCGTTGGCACAAACTTTTTGCCTCAACTATGTCAGTGTGCCCCAGGGCAGTTGTGGCTACGTTAGTAGTTTATCACCACTGTGTATGGAGTAAAAGAAAAATGAAATGTGAAGCGTCTTCGATTGCCCTCAATAACGCTGTATAAAACGGAAGCATTACTATTAATATTATTATTATTGTATAATAATTGTATATATTGTATTTACTGTTTGAACTCCTCAGGCGACCCTAGTCCTGTCTGAATATCGATTGAAAGAGTAGTGCTGTTTTGAGTACACTCGGGTACATTGGCTCTGAAGCCGGGGGCCACAGTCGCCTTCAGAAGGATGAGGACTTTCTGTTTGTGTTGTTTAGAAAGTGCCAATGTTCCTCCCACACACAGTTCATCAGGCGCCGCAGAGAGAGTCTAAGGAACGAGCACTTTACCACAGAGCTGCTGAGGCTCTTTCAAGGATTTTAGCTCAAACTCAAAGACCATTTCAATGTGAATGAATCCACTCTTTGTGCTGGTTTGGCTCAGGATCACAAACAGAAAAATGCTGAAAAGATGTCATTCAAAGGTGTTTTTAAATTGACAGAAATTAAAGTATGCATCTTTAGTAATGTTACTTTGACGAAGAGCTAAAGATGAGTCCAGCATTTACTGTATTTGAAAGACAGTCAAAGAAGATGCAAGTTTTTTTGTATAGCACCGTTCATGCAATAGACAACTCAAAGTGCTTAACAAAACAAGAAACAATCACAGAAAGCATTAAATCCTCAATAATAACAGAACACGGAGAAGAGCGGCACGGTGGCTGAGTGGATAGCACTCTCGCCTCTCAGCAAGAAGGTTCTGGGTTCGAATCCCGATCGGCCAGGGCCTTTATGAGTGGAGTTTGCATGTTCTCCCCCTGTCTGCGTAGGTTTCCCCTACCACTAAAAATATGTACAATAGGTCTGGCATGCGCCTCCTGTTCGGTGACCCTGCTCCCATCTCTGTGTGGAGTGAGAGGACAAGTGCCCAAAAAATAACAATAGTAAACTGCTTTGTGACTGTCTGTGAAAGGTGGTATATAAATAAATATTACATTACTAAGCGTGAAGATACACTCCTTCAGTTGTTGCAGCAAAACAGACCTATTTGTAACCTGCATTTGTCAGAGAACAAACAGTGTCTCACATTTTCAAGGAACTTGTTGCAAATTTTAGGTTCAAAAATCTGAAACACTGCCTCCCCATGTTTAGTCCTGACTCTGGGAACCAGCAGAAGGCCAGTCCCTGCGCTCCTCACAGTCCGAATGGGTTCATATGGCACTAACATGTCACAGATGTGCTTTGGTGCGAGGACATGAAGAGACTGTTCCACAAAGCTACTTTAACGTCGGTTCTCTGAGCCACAGGAGCCAGTGCAGAGATCTGAGAACTAGACAAAAAGTAAAACGTTGAGTCAGAGTTTTTATCATCCAAAAAGCAGCATGAGTCAGACATGCATCACATCAAAACAACTTGAGTCCAGCAGATCTTCGCGTCTCCATAATGAATGAGGTATGGGGTCTCGGCGAGCCCAAAGTCACGTCTGGCTGAGTTTAAGTGAACGTGCTGGCGATGCAGTCCACTGCAGATGAATTAGCTCTGAAGGGATGCGGCTGCAAAACGCCACTATTCTTCTCTTATTGTATTAAGAGCATGTCACTGGCCTCAAAGCAATGATGAGGCACTTACTGGATCCTAATGTACCCTGTGCCAAACAATATGGACTACAAGTACACTACAATACCGACCCATCTTTCAGGCTCAGGCCGCTTCTGTCTCAGTATACATGCAGACCACTCTTGCCTCAGTATACATGCAGACCACTCTTGCCTCAGTATACATGCAGACCACTCTTGCCTCAGTATACATGCTGGCTAAGACCTCTCTTGCCTCAGTATGCAGGCAGACCACTCTTGCCTCAGTATACATGCAGACCACTCTTGCCTCAGTATACATGCAGACCACTCTTGCCTCGGTATCCCTTGCTCAGGGACTACAGGTGTAAATTAGCACTGCTGCTACAACCTGGTACAAAGCATCTCTCCTTTTGGCTAATGTTTACTGTACACTGTCCCTGTAAAAATAAAAACCATACCATACCATACCATACATGCTGGCTAAGACCTCTCTTGCCTCAGTATGCACGCAGACCACTCTTGTCTCAGAATGCATGCAGCCCAGACATCTTTTGTCTCAGTATACATGTGTGTCTTGTCTCAGTAAACATGCAGTACAGTATACACAAGGTCCTCACGTGTGTTTTTGATAAGGCCAGTTACCTGGAGTCAATAGTGTGTTTTCATCAGCATAAGTTGCCGATGAGGAGGCTGGGTTGGTCCTAGAGCAGCTGTTGTTCAGTCTTCAAAAGCGAATCGATTGGCTCTCCCACTCTCTGTTTCTTCTGCTCTGATGGCCCCGTCTCTGTCAGCGAGCTGTTTATGAATGGCCCTTTTGGATTGGAATGGCTGTGAAATAACCACTTGTGTTTGAGCCGCTTTACCGAGCATTTGCTCACAGAAACCAGCAGCCGCGATTTGTTCAATATATGTCACAATATTGATCTGAAACGGCTTATTAACAGAAACAGGTTCATTGATTTCCAGCTAGAAACTGCAGAGCCAATAAGCCCCGCCTCCTCTTAGTTGCATTTTTTTCTCGTGGAGAGATGGATGAGAGCAATAGTGCTCACACAATGCAAGAAGCAAGTGGAATGCATGTATAATATTTTGCATTTCATCAGAATGATTCACATTTCTTTGAGTAGCCAGTGGTTGCCAATAACACCATCACTTTGTGCAATGATTTTAAAGAGACGACTTGAAAGAGTGGCACTCCAATACACGTCTGCCTCATCATCAGTGTATTAGCTGCAGTATTGCATTTGCCGCATCATTAGCTGCATTAGCTTTATAGACCTTCATGGATATGACTGCGTGTTTGGTGCATCAAGGTTCTGTAGAGCCGTTTTCCCAAAGTGGTTGCACTCTAAACAAAATCCAACAAAACATACAAAAAACTGCTTACATTTTACCAATCTAGTTGGTAGTTACGTGTCCAACTGACTGTCCCAGCACCATGTAATGTAATATCATCACTAATTTGGTGAAATTGGTCTACAATGTGGAGACTACTTTTTAACTTCAATCAGTAGAAATTATTCATTCATTCAGTCATTCAATCCATCATGAATGTGCTTCAGTTTACATTATAAGGGTTATATCACTCTTTATCAAAATATTATAGCATTTTGTTTTTCAGCAATGAATAGCAATACAGATATTTAGTCCTGTTGGTATTGACAAACTATGTCAGTGTGTATTCTTCCCAATCCTCCCGTCAGACCACCCACTCACGCATGCGACACGCATCCCCTTGCTCCACAATGAAGCCTTTTCACGTCGCTCCATTGAAGGCGCGCCGATGCGTGGTAATTGCGTGTGCTTGTCAGTTTAGGAATGCCATTGGTTTCGTACAGGGCTGCTCCTGTCAAAGGAAAACAGTCTGGAAAACTCCACACACATTTATCAGCCAGAATGGCTCCAGTGTAATTCAATCAATAGTCCATTTTCACAGAGCACTCGGTGCGCTCGTACAAACATCTGCAGGATGTCTGCTCGCCTTATTATTTCCAGTTCTCAACCCGATATGCGCCACACCACACGTTCGGTTATGGAATTTGTCATGCTTTTAGCAGAATGGAGTTCCTGTTATTGGGAAAGATGAGGTTGAAAATGTAAACGCTTCGGCCAAGAGACACATTCTTCCTCCTGAGCCTTCGTCTTCGGACCAATATCATATTCCAGGTCACGTGAGAAAATAGAGCAGTCATTTTGACGGCTCCTATTCAAATCTACAACATTCTTATAAAAAGTGAGTTAGTTTCTCACCAGTTATTATTCATTACCAAATGCTAAAACAGTTATTATAACTACAAATACAGCAAAGAACAAATCAAAATTAGAGCCGCAAGGGGCATCGAACAGCCCTCACTGCACCACACAAAGGAGGGGGCGCCGCCACGCTATATTTGCTCCCATAGCCGTCGAACAATGTTTGTGACTAATCAAAGCTCTATGAACAAGTTTTGATGGTACATGTGTTGAGGTGATGTGGAGCAATTTTCAGCCAAATCGGTGAAATGGCTGAGGCTGGTTTGATGTTTGTGCGAGGTGTACATTTCCCATTGACAAAAAATGGGGAGTGTTTGTTGTCGCCACGGCAACAGAGTAAAAATAAGTCTTAGGTCTCATTGACTTTTTTAATCAAAAGGGGAATACAGAATTAAGTGCCAAATTTCAAACATTTTGAAAAAACTAGATTATCCCCATGTAAAACTTTGAAATAGTCTGTAGGGGGCGCTAATGGGCCAATATCAATCATTTCACTTTCAAATGACTTAGAACCTGGAGAGGAACAATGGATTTAAGTTTTGTGCAAATCGGAGCAAATTTGCTTTTGTCAAAAAAAGTCACATTTTGCCGCTCCGCTGCTCAAACAACGTTTCACTGATCAAAATTCTGTGTGAGCAAAATGATGGTACTTGTGTTTAGACAATGTGTAACGATTTTGAGGCAAATCTGTGAAACGGCCGAGGAGGAGTCGCTTTCCAACGGACATGTGTTTCGAGGATCATGTTAATTTTTTTTTGATCTCTTGAGATCTCTCGAGCAAAAACAATGTAGGTTTCAATGGCAAATGATACATCATTGAGTTTACGCACGCAACCGTCAGTGACGGGCACTGAGGGGTCCGTCACCCACCGCAACCTCTTACATTCACCACTGTGAAAGCAATAGGCCCTTACCCCAGTCAGGGCTCGGGCCCAATGACTGCTCTGGGAGGTAAAGCTAGAACTACTCACTTTCCAAAAATAAGAAGATACATATAGGTTGAGTAAATATGCTCCCAAAAATAAAAACATCAATTTGACTGCTTTTGGAGTTCTAGTATTTAAAAACAGAGGGCCACATGATATATAACATGATATGATACATGGAGACTTTATTTTGACAGAAGGGATGGGGGGAATGTTTACCTGTTTGTGCCTGAAGTTGTGGATATAACTGCGAATAACAAATCCAGCTCTACTTAAAAAGAGAGCAATGTTATTATGTGTGTCCTTTATACAGCCTGTCCGTCCGTGGGAGCGTATCTCTCCCTCGCAATGGGCCTCCTCAAGGTTTCTCCACTGGGTTTTTTGAGTTGTTCCTTGCCAAGCAGATTGGTCTAAGAACAGTAATGATCCAGGACATTTAAGGACCTATATTAATATCTATGGTCGTTGGTAATGTGCCCCTTGTGTTTTTTATTATCACATTTCCTATGTTTGAGCTGTTTTATTCTCTTTTCTGTTGTTGTTGTTATAAAGTCCTCTGAAATAACTGCTGTTGTGATATAGAGCAATACAAGAATACATTAAATTGAAATGTCCTTTAACATTATCAGAAGCGTCCAAACCGCTCTGCTCGTGCTCCCACCCCTGATGCGTGCTCACCCCTCTGTCAGTGTGACCATTACAGGACGGTGCGAGTGCTGCCACGCCTCACCCTGGTGCAAACAGACCACCTCACAGATAATCCTTTACATCGCTGCTGATGAAGACGCGCGGTCCTCCCTAACGCGCTAATTACGGCGGCGCGGATAATAACAGCCTCTCGGGAGAAAAGCGTATGTGCAGTGGGTGATTACCGAGGCCTGGGTCAGTCTGCGCACTGCTGTGAACTAGCTCTGGGCTGATTCCGCCAGATTAATTGGTAGATAATCATTGTTCTCAACACAGTGCAAGCGGTTGGAGTGGGGGTGGTGCCACTGGAGTTGATGTTGGAGGAAGAGAAGTTGTTTTGACTTTTTTTGGCTCCTGGAAAAAGGCTGGTGTTCATCTTTGGCCAAATACATATTATATTTTTTATGATTACAAACTAAGAGAATAGTATATGCCAGAATGTAGAACTACTTTGAAATCTAGTTTGAATTTGCATCTGAGGAATTCATATGTGAAAGTATTTAATGGAAGATTAGGAAAAATGTCCAAACCAGATTCACTTTGTCTTGTGTTGAATAGGTTGAATGTATGCACAGTATGTGTTTGTGAAGACATGTGAGGATGAAACAATCACACGATTACAGATCTCAGGTTAAACACAGTTGATATTGCAGAAGAAAGAGTTGCAGTAGTGGCAGTAGTCATAGTAATAATAGTAGGAGTAGCAGCAGCAGTATTGTTTGGATTTCTGGTAGTAGTATTAGTATTGCTACAACATCTTTGGGAATTTATCCACATTCATGGACATTGGTCTCTCCCTATGGACCAATACATATGTTTTTTTATATTATTTGTGTCTTAACTGTTGATTCTCTGATCTGTGTTGGTGATTTCAATGGTTTTCTACAGCGGAGTAGACTGCTGTTGTAATTTAGGGCTATACAAGAATAAATTGTATTGTATTGTATTAGTGGCAGTAGTGGTCATAGCAGTAGTAGTAGATGTAACAGTGGTAGCAGCACTGTTTGGCTCCTGGTCCAGGCCCCTCTCTCGAAGTGTACAGTAGCAGTTGCAGTATTGTTTGGCTCCTGGTCCAGGCCCCTCTCTCAGAGCGTACAGCGCTCCTCTGGGATGATGGATGTTGGGACACGCTGCTCTCTCAGACTGCACAAGTGTCCACAGCCCATTCATCTCACACAGACAGATTATTACCCATCCACCATTCATCTTCAGTGCCACACCTCCACATCCAAACACGGCTCCGTCCTCAACATGCACCAAACACCATGTAGCAACAGAAGTATTAGTAGTAACCGTAGCAGCAGTTATAATAGTAGTAGTAGTAGTAGTAGTAATAGTAGTCGTAGTAGTAGTAGTAGGATGATTCTGGCCGTGATTTGGGGAGCCTCTCTGTTTCTTGCTTTTGTCTCTGTCTCTGCCTCTGTCGCTACCTCTGTCTCTGCCTGTCTCTGTCTCTGTCTTTGGCTCTGTCTCTGTCTTTACCTCTGCCTCTGTAAACGTCTCTACCTCTGTCTCTGTCTTTGCCTCTGTCTCTGTTTCTGCCTCTGTTTTTTGCCTGTGTCTTTCTCTGTCTCTGTCTCTGTCCTGCCTGTAACACTGCTGCTGTTGTGTCCTCAGCCTCTCCCACCGTCCCGCCGCTGCACTCGGAGCACTTTAAGTCCTGCCACGAGAAGGACCTGTCCTACTGCCTGAACGGAGGGGAGTGCTTCGTCATCGAGACTCTGAGCGGGCCCCACAAGCACTGCAAGTAAGGCTCTCCCCACAAACACACACACACACAAACCGGCATGCACACTCTCATAGCAGATGCTGTGTTCAGGTGGACACTGAGCTATGGTTGTGTTGGCTGCAGAGCTGGACCACACACTCACGGCTGCACTCAAAGACACACACAGCTGCACACACATTCACACTCACAAACACACAGCCTGTGTGAGTAGAAGAGGGTCCAGGAGGGTGTCTATCCTGCCATCAGTGATGCTTTCACAGCTTCTGACTTATATGTATTGATACAAACATTTCATATAATTTTGTAATTTATCTCATTGATATAATGTGTATCTCCATAATGTGCAGCTTCACTCAGTTATTGTAAAATAATGTCTTTGAATCTGCTTTTCACTTGACATAAAACATATAACGCTGATCAATATAGTGCTTTTGAAATTCAAATTCAAGTCAGGATTAGTGTTTGATAATATCCGGTCACATCTTCTTCTTCATATGGACAATGTTCATGTTAAGAAGTCACAAAAACATTTCCATGGCCACTTTAGTTCACCGGACTTGTTCAGAGGTTGAAGACTCAGTTTTGAAATCTGTTTGTTCTGAGATTTACTAATCGCTGCCACCGTGATGATGACTTAACCTTGCAGACCTGTTGGAGATTTATTTTTTGAAATCTGTGATATGGGGATAATATTGTTTTATATTTTTACAACACAAACCAATATTTCTCATAATTGTAAAGGTTTAGCAGCAGCACTCAGATGCACAATGAATGCATATACAGTGCATTAGAGTAGTACTACTGCTTGAATGATTGCTGTCAGTTGAAATAGCTGGAGGACCCCGAGCTGACGTTTGCTCAGGGCTTGAAGACCCGGCCCTGGATGACTGCAGTGGGTTAAGTCAACCCCCGGTTCATTTGTGTCTTTAATTCAATAATAAGCTTTGATGCAGATTATTGATGTGAAATCATCCATTCCACACATCGTCTCAACACGTCTCAACACGCTCTAATGTCACAGTTATTTTTACATGCCTTTAAATGGGCTAGAATATAAATATATGCATCCTCTCCCCACGCATCCTTTGAAGCTGCTTTCCTGTTTGTGTTGTAGTGCCCCCTGCTGGTGTCAGTATGGAGGCACCACACCATGACACATGCATCATTAAAATGTGCTCATGTCCCTGCTCCATCTCTGCAGCTGGAATCAGGGCCTTTCATCGCACTGTGGGATTAGAGTCTGTCCCAGAGAATGTACTTTGTAAATAACAGTAATAATTATTATTTTTAACACATCTTTATATGTAGGGTACTTTTCAAAAACAAAGTGCTGCATGGTCAGCATAAAACAATAACACAGAGCACACAAGAATAGCTATGGGAAAAAACAGAGAGAGATAAGAGAGAGACCAGATAGACAGACCAGAGAGAGACAATGAGAGACCGAAATGAGACCGAAGAAAGACCAGAGAGGGACCAAAGAGAGAGACCAGAGGTAGACCAGAGAGAGACCAGCAAGACCGAAGAGAGACCAAAGAGGGACCAAAAAGAGAGACCCAGAGAGACTGAAGAGAGACCAGGGATAGACCAGAGAGAGAGATACCAGAAACAAATACAGAAAATAAAGCAGACAGGGCCCACAACAAGAAAGCCAGCCATTGGAGGAATGCTAAAACAGGGGTGATGTGCTCCCTGTTAAAAACAAAGAGAACTCCTCTCAGTGACTTCCAAGTGTTTTCAAAGTGGGTTTCAGAGCTTCATGAGCGCATACAGAGCAGGACACAGATTCTGAGGCCGAGGGAAAGAACGACCTCTAAAGCAGACGCCACGATCAAAGCTCAGCTTTTATACACAGCACTGCATTATTTCATCATTTTTGGCTGTGCAAGGTCATGGGTAATGTCAGACAGACTCTTTTAAATGCAACTATAGCCTTTTGTCCAACAGCCCTACTTGGCTCTACTCTACCCCAAACAGTGGCTTCCAGCAGAACTCTGGCCAATCACAGTCAGTAAGAACACTTTAGTACCAGCTCGGCCTGGATAGAACCAGGACCAAGAGGGACTAAAGAAGGACCTGCAAACATGTCTTCTTGCTTGTGAGTAAGTTTACTGATTGCTGAATTTTCATGTACCTTTTTTTCGTATTGTCTGAATACAGACTTTCTTTGGGCCTTGTGAGGTCATATTGGATCCCAGCAAGAGTATTTTAGTATAAATAAATACATCAATTATGGACAGAAGAGTGAATAAGAAAGGACTGCTCTTATTCTGCCCAAATAGTGACTCACATTATTATTACAAGTATGCAAAAGCGAACATGTTGTTTTAATCATATGAAGACAATAGCGCTGGTGCTGCTGGTGCTGCTGGTGCCGCTGGTGCCGCTGGTGCCGCTGTGTGCGTCCTCAGTGGCACGTCAGCCTCTGCTCTATCGGCTCGCCCCAGATCCACTTAGACTGTAGGAATGTGGGGTCCATTATAATTAAGTCCTGCTTTGCTCTAGGGCCACTCTAGATAAACACATAATGCAGTATTTGTGTTTAATATTAACTTAGATGTAAAATGCAGTGAGAGATGATGTGAAAGAGCAGTAGATACGGTTGTAAAAGAGGGAACGGCATTCTTCTAGGTTGAGATCTGAATCTAAAACAGCACAATAGTATTTGAAGACCCACAGCTCTGAATGCGACACTTATTCTTTTGAATGCACTGGGAATGGCAGCAAGTACTAAGTAGCTCTGAAACAGTTTTCGTTTTGTGCTTTGCAAACGTCATTTGTTTTGCTTTTCCTCGCTGTAAATTTTACTGCAGTACACTGTTCAAGGTTTTATACTGATCCAGACAAGAGCAGAGATGATGCACAGTCCAAACCAAGCAGGTCAAGTGTAAATCCACTGGAGTAATGGTTTTTTTTTTTAAGTATTCAGAATTTCACTCTGAACCAGAGCAGAAAAATGGTTAGCCAAGCAGACTGATGCTGCTGCGACCTACTGTATGGGGATAAATAACGTAGCTATCTATCTATATAGCTCCTTGGCACTGATTACAGAGGCAATTCACCTGCTGGGGTTTAGCCAGAAACAGTAGTATGTTGGTGCTGTGCCGGTTTTGTGTGTAGATTTTGGGAAAAACACGTATGTGTACGTACGTTTGACCTGTTAGAGAACACATAAAAAAGATGTAGATGTTATTTAACATGAAATTATAATACACTGTCCCTAAATGTCCCTGAAATACAACTTGTGTGTTTGGCCTTGTGTATAGTATATTACAATGTCAGAGTTACATGCACAACACAGAAATTGACCAGAGGAATTCTCAAAACCAATTTGGAGTTTTCAAAGGCAGTCAACTCCCAAATACCACCAACATACCTCGCCTTGAGATATAAATCCAGAGAAAGTACAGGGCACTGAGACTTGAGAACTGGACTAATGTGATTGCACTTCTGATACAATCACATTAGTCCAGTTCTCAAGTCTCTGCACCGGTTTCTTGTGGCTCAGAGAACAGACTGTGTACAAGTCTCTCCATGCCCTCAGACCAAAGTACATCTTTTTAGTGCCTTGTGAACAAACTCGGACTCTGAGGAGCACAGGAGCCGGCCTCCTGCAGGGACTCTGAGGAGCACTTTGAGTTGCTGTGTGTATAAACTGTGCTATACAAATAAACTTGCCTTTCCAGATATCACTGCTTTAGTCGTGAGGTTTGGGTCTTAAAGCCTTTGTCAGATTGTGTCCCTGATATCTGTGTTGTTAAATGCTGCAATCATTCAAATACAAAAAATGTGTGCTTTCCTCGTCAGTCACGTCTAGCCCAGAACAGGTCACTTTGTTAGTGTCATTAGTAATTCCATTTCCGCACTGCCTGGCTTGTTAAACATTGATTTAATTTTATCAACCAACTACTGACATTCTCCGGGAGCTCGGAATCGATGCATAATCCTCGCCGTTGTGTTCACTACAAATGGAGACAAATCAAACCGTAAAAGAGGGATCAGGCTGGCATGGCTGCGGTCGTAAACAGATGCCACTCGCTGCTGTCCTAGGCCACCAAATGAATCATTTTTATACTTGGCATGAAATCCGAGCCCCCTTTCCCTGCCTCATAATTCAACACATCAAGTTCAGCGATAAAACAAGCAACAATTGTCCCCAAGAGTTCTTTCGTAGCGTTCTGTTCACCCAAGATGACTGTCTGGGGACAAGAGGGTGGGGGCTGTTTTTTTTCTCAAAATCAATGAACCACTCATCCATTCTAGAGCCCTGCACGGGCCTATTATCTGGGCCCGAGCCCGGCCCTGGCCCGAGGGGGTGGCGCCCCAGCCCGGCCCGGCTCGATATGGTTTCTGAATTTTCATGCCCGAAACCTGCATCAAGCCCGCCTTTTTTTTTTTTTGTAACCTCCCATAACAATGTTTTAGCGTAGTATATAGTGCCGCGCACTGATATGAACGCAGACTTAGCTAGAGGGCGGAGTTAGACATGGTAGTGATGTGTTGCAATGAGTTCTGTGTGTGCGGAGTGGTGCAGAGTGAACGGCGGCATCTGTATGATGCCCAGATGCTGCAACACACCTGTAAGTAACGCTATGTGCCGTCAATGACAACACTACACAGAACAACAAACACTACAGCGTGATAGAACGCTATATTCAGTGGGTGCGTTCGTAAATGTATTCTGCCGCTCTGAAAATGAAGAGCCCGAGCCCGGCCCGTGTCCGAGGTTATTATGCGGTCATCGGCCCGAAGCCCGGCCCTCGGGCTGTCGGGCCGTCGGGGCCCTCGGGCCAAGAGCTCAAGTGCAGGGCTCTAATCCATTCACCAGTGTCTTTGTTGTGGGGTCTTTTCCCAAAAACACAATGGCTCAGTCAAAAAAACACTTTTCACAGTGATTTATTATTTCCCACTATTATCCCAGTGCAATACAGTGCAATATTTACAAGTTGTAGGCGCATGTTTCATCTCAGGTTCTCAGGTGTTGCCTTCTCTGCAACCAAGCATCACTAAACTCGAGC